AAGTCGCTATGAGCAAGGATTTTGGATCTGAAATAATCCCTACCAATTTTGTCTCTCATTTTAATTTGACGTGGACATTTGAAAAATACACGTCATATTCAATTTGGCACGGATTCACCTGTGTCAAACACTTGGATTAGATATTCCGAGCCAAACAGTGCGACGAACCAACAACGAAAAAAACTGCAACTTTTGGGTTGAGCGCAAAACCAATCCAAAATCCGACGCACTTTGGAACGGAATGATATCCGAGCCAACACCGATATGAGCCTTTATTACTTGACTCAAATTTATCCGTGCCAACAACTTTCCAATCAAAATCCGACCCTAGTTGGCGTGGATTTATCCATGCCACCACCGAGTTGATCCCAGAAATGTGGGACAACCACAAAATCCATGCCAAACGTGTCGTGCCATAATCCGTACGAACAATTGGGGCCCATATCCGGAGCCGTTTGAGTACACAAGACAAAAACTGAGCCTATAAGTTACCGTTATATGTGTTTCTGGCATTCTGAACCTAAAGTCGAGCCAAGCTTGTCTGTGCCAAATTTCGTTCCATATTTTGGGAGTCATATTTACGAGGGTTTGGATCAAACAGACAAGTTCGCGCCAAAATATGACCTTTGTGCATCTGGCCTTACCGCCTTAGTAGTATAAGTACTAGAATTTATTCATTCAAAGGGGGTTGACAAACTGAATTTAATAGCATTAACTTCTCTTTATAGTTCTTATTTATTCTCCCAACTTAGAATAGAGAGTGGTGTAATCATTCTAAGTCATTTATAGAACATGGTCCACTTTACCTCCTACTTATCTTCTTGTTATTATTTGTGTCTCCATTATCATCTAGATACCCAGTAAAAGATAACTGATCCATTAAAATCCAACGGAAGCCCAGGTGAAAGTATTGAACCCTTGAACCAAGATAAATAAACCTTAACAAGAGTATTAACTAGGTAAATTTTCATTATTTCGTTAGTAATCACCCTAAATAAGAACAAATACAAACATAATTGCACAAATAGGACTAAAACCTAAATTTTCCACAAATAGGACTAAACGTTAATTTTCTACCCTTAATACCCCTAATCTAATTAATTGTCCCCTCTAATTCCCTTGGACAACTGGGCCAGTCCAGTGGTGGTAGGGCATTCCGGAAGTGGGGGCGGGGGTCGATGGACTTCCGGTGACTGGTGGCGGCAGCAGCCAGACTGGGGCAAAAAAACTGGATTTTTTGCCTAGCCAGAGCTCCGGCGGTGGTAGATGGTGGCAGTGGAGGGTTTAATACATGCAGATTCATTTTAGTCCAATCACAAAAAAATCCATCGTGTTTTGGGAATTTTCAAAGTTACATTTTTATTTGCGATTTTTGGCCATATTTTGCTCCTATTTTTATAATTTACTCCTATTACATTTTGGTTCGTATATAGAGCACCCGGGTGTACGGGTGGGAACCGTACATCTGGTCCAATTAAACAAATAACTGGCCCATCTGCTAATATAGCCCATTACCAAAAGATTCATTTTTTAGGAGGTGGCATTTTGGTAATTTAAGAGAAAAATTGTGATTTTCGTTAAATGAGCATAAGTGTACTGTTAGTGAGCATCAAACATATTGTAATGAGTATTAGGAGCATAATGATGAATATCATCATCTTCGCTTCATATTTTCTAATTTTCTTTTTCTTTTATAAAACTTATTGAATTATATGTATAAACAATCTCTATGAATTGTAATATGCGAATTTTAGGTGATATGATACTTTTAAAATATACATTGATATGACATTTTACAAATGACTACAACATCACGGTTTCTGTCAAATGAGCATTCATGAACTTTTACTGAGCATTACATTTATTTTGTTGAGTATTAGGAGTATAATATTGAGCATCATGATACTTTTGAATTATGAATTTATATGGCATTTTAAAATGAGGATAATGTCAGAACCAAATGAGCACACATAATTATAAAATGAGTATCGAAAAATTCAAAAAGTCATTTGAAATTGCTAATGTGTTCAAATTCTCATTTGTATATGCTCATTTCGTTTAAGCGTTATGCTCATTTGGTATGTGAAAGCGATGATGCAAAGGTTGGATTGATCTGTCAAGTCAATATCACCAAAATCTAATCTATACACAGCATCAACGTTGTCATCTAGAATCTCTGCAACACCGGAGATGGAAGAACGGCGACGGACCAGAAACGCCTAAATTTTGACGGATTGGAGCGTCGGCGATTGAGCAACCTTGGTGAGACTCCAACAAATTAGGTTGCAGCAAGATGGAATCCGCTCCTAGTCAGACTGCATCCATGGAAAAACTCTTCGCGCCGCGATGGCGGTGACGGTGAAGCTCGAATCGATGAAGCACGGTGAAGGTCGAGCGGTGATGTCTATGGTGAAGAGATCGACGTGCAATAAAGGAATGGGAGAAGAAGGTTTAAAGTTGGAGGAAATTACAAAATTACCGGGTGTACCTGTACACCCGGATGTACCATATAATTTGCGATTACATTTACCCCTCTTTATGTAAAACATACAAAAATGATATTAGTAGCAATAAGAGCCCGTTTGGTAACACTATTATTCGGCTTATCACGCTTATCAGCCAACTTTTTCACCAAACACGTAACTTTTGATTTCGCGTGCTGAAATGAGTAATAATAAGAAAAGGTAAGGTTGAAGTTACTTTACTAGCTGTTTCGGCTGAAGTTACTGTAGATGATTATTTTAGCTATTTTTACATATACTTTTTTAATTTCTTTATTTTATTAATAAAATATATTTTAAATTTAATTTTTTCATAAATCAGCAGAATTAACCAATACAGCGACTTAAGCCAGAACGCCGGATAAGCCGATTTTCAGCCGATTCTTGTGTTACCAAACGGGCTCTAAATGTATTCTATTCTCCAACAATATAAATGTATGTGGCTGGTTGTCGATTTTCAGCCGATTTTTGACTGTCATTATATTTAATTTTGTATTAATAAAAATAATTGAAAATCAGATTATGAAACTTAGTAATGAGACAAATTCAACAATATTTTTTTTTAAAAAATAATTCACATACATTAAAAAATAAAATGTAGTCAAAATAGAGTACATCAATAGTGTGTAAATTGCAATGTTGCAACTAATGCGATACGGATAATAGTATAATTAATGTAACCAGTTTTGTTTTAGTTAAGTCATTTTTCACATTCTGGGTGCTAAACTTTGACTAATTCGTAGTATTTATATGTGAAAATATATTTATTATGAAATTTTCAGAAATATATTCCTGTTAGTTAAAATATTGGATTGACCACATTTTAATGTGATTCATCATAGTAAAATATATATTGACCAAGGCAGAAGAAACGGGAGTAATACTATATACCGCTCCTTAATTAAAAATAGAACTTGATTCCATTTTGCTTTTATATAGTTCTCCCTTGAAAAAAGATGTGCAATTGACTATATATAGCTCACAGCGCATTAAGGGATAATTTGCGCCGAGATTTATGCACTCCAGAATTTCTCCATTTCTTTTCCATAAATAAAAGTAATAAAGAGTTTGATTGCGTTGACAAAACGGTAGGTGGGAAGCGTCTCATAGAGGCAATTGTTTAAAGTATGAGAAGAAGTAATTACTACGGAGTAGAAATAATTGGTTAACAAAGAAGTGGACTACTCAATATAGGTTGTAAAGTAAATAAATTTCATCATCCCGTATGTTTTTACTTGGACGGTTTTCAATCCCAAATCCAACCAAACTAGACCAGATCAGATCAGACTTAAACAGATCAGACCAGACTTGACTTCTGTAATTATAAATTACATGGAGACCAGACGTTTACCAGACCATACCAGACCAGACCAGACCAGTCCAGACCAACAAATTAAAGTCCAAATAAAACTATCCTTACTTTCTTACTTTATAGTTTAAAGAAATCATATATTTGAATGGGGAAAATGCAAACTATTTTTCCTACCAATCACAACTTATTTATTTATCATAATATCAATCCCCAATTATATATGTTATCCCCAATAAATGTCATTTGCTGAACGGTTAATATCAACTACTAGCATATGTCAAAGCCTAAAACATAAAACTTGATAAAAAGTACGGAGTAATTAATAAGTAATATATTTTCTAAATACATGGATAAGAAGAATTATATTATATATAGTTAAATACTGCCTATCTCACAAAGTTATCAACATTGACCTTTTCTCATGTATTGATATATGGAGTATCAGAGTATGATAACAGCTTTGAGTAATACGGGGAATATACTACTTTTATATAGGTGATTTACAATTTTAAATGCAGCTAAAAATTAATGCTGTCACAAAATATAGCTGCATAATACTTCGTATAATATACTGTCACAAAATATAGTAAAATATATTCGGCGCGCGTATTAATTAGAGACATTAGCTAGTCAAGGTTAATATAGTTTGACCAAAAAAGGACTTGGCGGGCCCAAGGATGAAAGGAGTAAAATTAAGTAAAAAATTGTGGCCTCGGAGGATTATTCTGTATGGTTTTTAATACTGGAGAATTTGAGTTTGCACCTCATGTTTTGGGTGATATTTGACTTTGCATCCTATTTTCAAAATCATTAATGTATGCACCTCAATTCATTATAAAATCATTTGACTTTGCACCTCACTCCTTCATAATTTTTGGGCTAATGAGGTGCATACATTAATGATTTTAAAAATGGGGTGCAAGGTCAAATATTATCCAAAACATGGGGTGCAAACTCAAATTCGAAATTGAATTCGAAATCTTGTGTAAATTAGAATTTATAACGACAAAAGAGATATATATTAACATTATTAGCTGTGGTTTTGTTTCATACTCTGTAATAATAACGCGCAAACGCGTGAATTGCGATTTCCGCCGTGTATGAAAGTTGGCATTGAAAATCTACGTGAGGGAACATCTTTATGCAACTCCCTAATTGAAACGCAATCCCAAACATATATAAATATACACAGACACATAGCTGGACTTGTGCTTTGCATAAGCAAGTACAAATAGGCCACCCTGATTTCATTCACATTCTTTCATTCTTTCCCCATCTCTTTTGTTTTTTTATCCAATCATTGAAAAATAGACACTCCACCTATACCTGAATCCTAAACCTGGTATGGTCTTCATCTTCTTATGCCCACTATTTTATTTTTCATGTATTTATATGTTGGTTTGTATTTCTATATTTTGCTCAACGTGTGAACAATGTCTGAATCGGGATATCGTGTTTTTGCTCGGCTGTGTTGCAGGTTCATCGGTCAAGGAAGTGAGGAAGTGTGCATTCTTTGAGAGCCTTAAAATGGGCAAAACCGGTGCTTTACTCCATCTGGTTTTGGCCGTCTTGGTTCTCTTGAGCTCTTCCATTAGAGCAGAGAATCCTTATAAGTTCTACGAGTTCCATGTCACTTACGGGAAAGTTAACCTCCATGGGTTTGAACAGCAGGTTAGTAATTAATCATATCCGTTGCATATCATGATCCCAATACTTTGGAGCTTAGAAAGGCTAGAGAAGTAATACTACCTCCGCCCTCTATTATTGTCCCATTGCGTTTTATGATGATTGAGCGACGATAAAGCAAACAGATTCTTGTTCGTACTCAAATTATTTTTAGAAAAAAAATTACATTTTTAGAATCCACATTAAAAGCTTTACGAAGCCGCAAAAATCAGAATCAAATTTGATAAAGAAAAAAAATGATATATAAAGTAAGAGATTAAGAGTGATTTGTATTGACCCAGTGAGTAATAGGAATTGCGACAATAATGAGGGAAAGAGGGAGTATGTTCATATAAATTATGAAAATTAATTAAAATCTTACATGAAAAAAATGCATATTGAATTGGCCACTTGGGGGATCAAATATTTACGTATGTGGTATCTAATGTGCAAAAGCGTTTATTTCATCTGAATTTTGTAGTAGGTAGTAGTTTATACATAATGAAATATTTATGATGAATTTGAAGCCAACTTCCCCTCATTAATAGATCATCTCTTTTCTTAGCTACGTAGTCTTTGATGAAGGATTCATAAAGGACGGGGTGTTTTATAAAATAAATAATAAATAAAATAAAAAAGGATTAAAAATGCTTGTAATCGGAAAAAATAGGGCGGAGTTACTACAATCCCTGGATTAAATGAGATACAATTTGAAGGATTTTGGAGGTTCATCAATCATCAATCAAAGTTTAATGGAAGAACTTTCTAAGTTTCAAAAACCTTAATAAGGAGTACTATATTTAGAAATTATATTGTAACAAATAATGTTAAGTTTGTTCAATATACATTTTTAAAAAATATTAATAGCAACTTAAATACTAGGTATGTAATGGTCAAAGTCCTCTAATGTCAAACATGAGGGGAAAAACGTAACAATGAAATTAAGCCACACTGTGTAGTAATCAAATTTGTGACTTTGGTGACTTTAAGACTACACTACAAAAAAACACTGATTTTGTCAAGGATTTTAGTCAGGGATACGGTCCCCAACAATCTTGTCAGGGATTTTGTTTGGGATTCTAGAAGAAATCGGTCAAATAGTTTTGTCAGGGATACTTCCCTAACAAAATTTGTATGGGATAAAATCCGTAACAAAATTCCTGACAGAACCCTCAAACACGGCACCGGCCGGCTTTTTTTGGCCGGAATATTTGTCAGGGAACAAATCCCTAACAAAACCAAGTTACAAAAAGTAGCCGTTTCATTTTGTCAGGGATCACCAACAGTTAAAATTGATAATTGTCACGGATTTGTTCCTTGACTAAATAAAAAATCAACATTTTACAATTTTGTCACGGATTTTTCCGTGTCAAAAGTTAACGTTATAAGTGAAATTCCGACCGTTACACATTCCTGACAACATCCGTGACAAATGTTACCATTTGACAAAATTCTCGTCACAAAATCCATGACAAACGTTATAAGTTGTAAAACAATTTTTTTTTTTACGTTTTTGGATTCTCGTCACGGATATATCCCTCACAAGTTTGATTTATTATATTGACCGCGCGCGCGCGCATACACACACACACACACACACACATATATATATATATATATATATATATGAATTTCAATGATAGTTTTCGTACATTTGAAAAAAAACATTTGTATGGGATTTATCCCTGACTATGTAAATAAAATATTATCCGAATTTTGAATTTGTCAGGGAATTATCCCTAACCATGGAAATTGGACTGCAGAAATATTTTGAATTTTGTCAGGGATTTGAATCCCCGACAAATCTCACCGGCGACTGGTACTCAGCTGTAGAGGATAAATCCCTGATAATGCGCTGACAAACTTTTGTCAAGGATACCAGATCCCTAACAATAGTTTTGTCAGGGCGCTGGAGTCGGGGATGAATTCATTGACAAAATCCCTAACAAAATCATTTGTTAGGGATATTTTGAACTGTGACCCCTAACAAAATCCTTGACTATTCTAGTGTTTTTTTGTAGTGGTAGTTAAGTATTGAGATTTGTTTAAAGTAAGATGGGTCTTGTATATATATTCTGATAAGAGATTGATAATGGTCTGATTTGGTTCTTCTATTCGCAGGTGATACTCATTAACGATCAATTCCCCGGGCCAACACTGGATGTTACCACTAATGACAATGTATTCATTAATGTCTTCAACTACTTGGACGAGCCCTTCCTTTTGACATGGTATGTCTATAATAATAATAATGATAATTGAATGTCACAACTTAAGCTGATCAATGAAGACTTACATATATACTTCGTATATGTATATATATAGAGTAAAGACCACCTCAAGTAGTTCTGACCGAAAGCCCTGTCCGAACCTACCTCTGAGAGGGTCTTCCCGGTGGAATTGTTTGATGAATTTTTTTGGGTATTTCTTCATCAAGTTTAGTTTATCCACACAAATTTCAGCAAAAAATTTAATCAGGAAGACAGTCAAATAATTTTTGGAAGATAACTGCGCCAAAATATACATATAAAAACGCAGTTATTTTCCAACAGTGGATTAAAACAATGAATTTGACTATGTTTTACTCCCAAAATAGGACGTTCTTAGTCCTGTTAAAAGAATAGGATATAAAAAACATTCCCAAATAGGAGGAAGTGAGCAAATGAAGTATATTTTAAAAAGAAAATAGTGACACTCATATTTAAAAAATGTGTTGTGTTTTACTTATTACATACGGAGTAAAATATACGTACGGAGTAGAACAGCTTCCCCAAATAGAATAAAGAAAAAAGTTCCCTAAATGTGTTTTCAGGAATGGGATAAAGCAGAGGAAGAACTCGTGGGAAGATGGCGTTTTGGGAACTAATTGCCCCATCCCACCCAACAAAAACTACACCTATAAGATGCAGATGAAAGATCAGATTGGAACCTACACATACTCCCCCTCCTCTGCTATGCATAGGGCCTTTGGAGGGCATGGAGCTCTTAATGTTCATGCCAGAGCAGTCATTGCAGTTCCTTATGCAAAACCAGAAGCAGAATTCAATTTACTAATTGGTGAATTGTTCAAGTACACAGATCACAAAGTGAGTACACACTAGCTCTCGGCCTCTACTGTTACATTTGTTCGATCCATCATTTCAAATTTAGAAATAGTTGTAAATAGGACTAAAACTTAGTTAAAATGCATAAATAGGACTACACGTATTTTACTCCTAAAATATGACTCATTTGATCGTATTAAAAGTATAAACTTTCCCTACTACGAGTGAATAAGTCATATTTTGGAGACAAAAAACAATAATAGTCCTATATATGCACTTTCTTTATGTTTAAGGAATTTCTCTTTCTAATTTGGTGCGGGCGTGCAGGAGCTAAAACAAAAACTGGACTCTGGAAAACCTATGTTGCCCTTTCCTTCTGTCGTCCATATAAATGGCCAGGAACAACAAACCTTCACCGGAGACCAATGTAATTTCCACCTCTTGATTAAATCAATGAAATTACTTCAAATAGGACTAAAATATAGACAAAATGCACAAATAGGAATACTTATATTTTATTCTTAAAATATGACTTGTTTGATTAAAAGTATAAACTTTTCTCAAATAGGAAGGAATGAATTTTCACTTTGATCAAAGAAAGCAAAAATAGTCATATTTGTACACTTTGACTATGTTTTAGTAGCAATTAACGGATTTTCTCAAAACATTGACAAAATGTAAAAAATAGAATTGCTTCTTCCATGTTTTACTCCTATTTTGAATAATTCTTTTATTTATCTTTATTTTTCTCCTATTTACTGAATTCCCTCTACAACATAACAAGTTATTTAAAAACAGAACTTTTTTTGCTATGCTTTCTAACCATTATAGTATCTATTCAATATTTAAAAACAGAACTTATCAACTCCTAACAAAAGGTTTAGTTGTTTTTGTTCTTTTTGTTCTTCTATTGTGAATAATTTCTTATATTCACATATGTGTGTATATACACACACACTACAATATGTATGCTTATGGGCTTACTTAAATGTGAACTTTTAATTATTGATAACTGTTTGTTTTACAGATAAAACCTATATGTTCAGAATTTCAAATGTGGGGTTGAAAACATCATTTAACGTGAGATTTGAAAAGCATACCATGACACTAGTAGAGGTTGAAGGATCTCATGTGGTACAAAATGACTACACTAGCCTCGATGTTCATGTGGGACAATCTATAACCGTCCTTGTCACCTTAAACCAGCCTCCCAAGGACTATTATATCGTTGCATCTACAAGGTTCATCGGTCGTCTTCTTAATGCCACTGCCGTACTCCATTACTCTAACTCTAAAACTCCTGTGTGTGGCATTGTACCACCTGCTCCAAGGGGGCAGCTTCATTGGTCTGTACAGCAAGCCAGATCAATCAGGTAACAATCACTCTAACACATTACTAATTAGCTCGGTTTGACTTAACCAGAGGCGGAGCCAAGGGGTGGTCAGGGTGGTCACCCGACCCCTCTGAAAGTTCAAGAATGTAGAGTTCTCAAATACCTTCGATTTGATATATTATGGGTCATGTTACTCGTTACGAATAAAAAGTTATGAAATGTGGAAAAATCAGCATCATCTTAACTTGATATCAGCAACTTTTGATGTATAATATTGGTTATATTCCTAATTTTAGAAATAAAACACCTCATTCATTTTTAGTTGTGTGAACTTTATAATACATGACATATATTAACACAATAACAGTATAGATCTCATTAAACTACTACTTCTCTCAGCTACATATGAAACTTTTGAGTGAAGTATTGTTTAATAATGATCCATCATTTTGATACTATATATGTAATATACTTAAATTTTGATCCCCTCAAATGTTTTTCTGGTTCTGGCACTGATTCTGATACCATATTAAAACTTTTTTTTTAATCTAACTGCGCGAAGAGACATAGCAATCAAAAGAGGAACCTCCGATTTCGTATACTCGTATTAGATTATACTCCGTAGTTTTATACTCCATCGGTGTGAGATCGTTTAAAACGCGCGTTACTAAGTTGGTGTTTTGCTTTTGTGTTTGAAGGTGGAACTTGACAGCAAATGCAGCGAGACCCAACCCGCAGGGTTCCTATCACTATGGGGGGATTAATATAACAAAGACATATGTTTTTGCTAATTCTGCACCTATTATTGATGGGAAGCAAAGATATGCTATCAACAATATCTCTTACATCAACCCAACCACTCCACTCAAGCTTGCTGATGCACTCAAAATCCTAGGAGTGTTCACCTTTGCTGATTATTCCATTGATCAGTATCTGAGTTCAACTGCTATTCCTCCTCACCTAGCCACTTATGTGCTCCCGACTACCCTCCACGACTTCGTTGAGATCGTTTTCCAAAACAGCGAGAAGTTCATGCAAACAATGCACTTGGATGGTTATGATTTTTGGGTTGTCGCGTATGTTTTCCATTCCTCACACTAGCTATAGCTATCTCCACACATGCATAATTACTACTTCCTCCGTCCCTAATTGATTTGCAAAGTCAACTTTTAATTACATTCTATTTTGATTCGTGCAACTTTTTAGAGATTTTAATTTACTTTCTGAATATGTAAATTTTAATTACTAAAATTTGAACTTGTTTTCATTAGGGAGGATTTAACTTTAAAATGTTGATTTTGTAAATCAATTTCGGAGGGACCGAGGGAGGCAGTAGCAAGTGTTATGATCATATCCTTTATTAGTTTTCCCATTGCATGCAGTTTTGGCTCAGGCAAATGGACTGAAGCTAGTAGGAAGAAATACAATCTTCATGATGCTCCTACCAGGCATACTACACAGGTAAATAAATACATGTGCTATTTCAGTAAAACTCCCTAGCTAGTCAATCTGGCCTTTAAATTAGGGTCTTTCTGTTCTATCTTGGTGGAGCATAGTTGCGGGTAGTCATTAGTCAAAGACTTCAAAATTTTGAAATACCTTAGGTGGGGGTCAAAGTGTAATATATTAAGCTGTTAACATATGAAGTACTTTTATCGGATTATAAATACTTATACACATAACACATTCATATCAATCATATGAACATCATAGTTCTTTACCTCGGGTCGAGACTCCCTCCAGCCCCACGTACCATTTCTCCATTGACTATATATTAAGTACCATATATCTCAACAATTACGTACAAACAGGGATGGATCCAGGATTTTGAGTCAAGGGGGCGAAAATTTGCGCTAGTGTAGGAGATAAAAAAATTCACTAGTATAGCGGGACGAATTTTTTTGCTAGTGTAGTGGGGTGAAATTTTTCACTAGTGTAAGGCTCTGCGGCTATTTTAATTCAAACAAATTTCATTAAGACATGCATGACGACATTTAAATCTATATATTACATTCTAAGTTTAGACAATGATAAAATAACTTTAATTTTATAATTTGAGTGCTCTAGAAAAAAGTATTGATACATTAAAGCGTAAGAAATGGTAAATCAAAGGAAAATAATATAAAAAATGATATATAACATTTATTTAAATATAAAGAGTTTATAAGGTACACATTCACCATACTTTTAAAATAACTTTAACATTGTTTAACTACATGGGTCTTATAGAAATAAAAAAATTGATTTTTGAATTACAATTTTTGGCTACCATGGAGGGTGTTCATAAGTCACAAGGAGTTTTTTTAATATTACAATTTTATGTATGATATTATTATTTTAGAATAATATTATATTGCTAATTCATATATATAGTGCATATTATATTTGTATTAATGCTAAAATATTTAAAGTTTATTATCTATGCAATAAAGTCTTTTTAGAATGTAAGAAGTAAATGAATTGTGTAATTTAATGTCAATAAACATTTATAATTTGGATTCACTTCACATGATCTAAAAACTTTGTAGCTAGAGTGTCTGATATTTAATATCATTTGATATATATATTTTAAAATTATATTGCTTACTGGTTATCTAATAAAGATAATTAAAGATTAAAAAACTAATAATTTTTATATGGGAAATTTACAATATTCATCCAGTAATTTTTGGCCATTATCATTATTAGTCCCGTAACTTTCGTCACTTGCCAATTTGGTCCTCTAACTAATTAATATTTGCGATTTAAGGACTTTTCCCCTGAAAAGTACACTTTCCGGCAATAGCATACCGGAAAAGATGTCGCCGGCGTCGAACTTTTCCGCCGGAAAGTGTAATTTCCGGTGGGAAAGTTCTTAAATTACAAAGATTTATTAGTTACAGGACCAAATTTGCTAGTGCTTAAAGTAAAAGGACCAAAAACGATAACAGCCGAAAGTTACAGGACTAAAATTGCAAATCTCCCTTTTTATATAATAAGTATCCTAAATCTTAAATAATGAGTTCGTTGTTCTATTGTTTAGTTAAGTTATGTAAATCATTTTAGATGTTCTTTCTTTTAAATCTCCAATTAAGTATTACATTATGTAAGACTATATATTAATTTTAAAAACTAAAAGTTAAGGGAGACAATGTTCAAAAAAAAAGTTAAGGGGACGAATCTAATTAAAGTATCAAAATTTTATAAAAACATTACAAATATAGTAAAAAAAATTGAAAGTCCAAGGAAAGCGGTGTCATCCGGCGCCCCCTAAATCCATTCCTACGTACAAATGTACAATAGTGTATGTATATATGGCATGATATGCATTTATTTATATAGGTGGTGTACATATATGCAGGTTTACCCTAATTCTTGGACGACTATACTCGTATCCTTGGATAACAAAGGAATGTGGAATCTGAGGTCTGCAATGTGGGAGAGGACATACCTGGGACAGCAACTCTATTTCCGCGTCTACAACGAAGGAGATAGTCCCCGCGATGAAAATCCTAGGCCTTCTAATGCTCTACTTTGTGGCAAAGCTGACCCCCACCATCGTTGATTCGACTGCCGGCCGGCCGGTTTAATTCTCGTACCTCGTACTCCTTGATTGTTTGTTTTTCACACAAAAGCCACGCCATATATGAACTATATATACACCGTTTTGTAACTTCTGTATGCATGTTTTCTTGTACAACGAAAAAGGATTATTTATACTTCTGCCACATACATATACAAAAGTTTACTCTATATGTATGGAGTTTATATGTATTTAAGTCGTTCACCTTGTTTATATGTATTCCATCTTTTGTTAATTAAGAAAGTGATCCGTTTTGAACGCTTAACAAATGATTAAGGACCATTCAAACACACAAATGATTAAGGTTGTTTGAATACTTCTTGATTCTGCTTGATGAGAGAAGAGAAACAAATATTGAAGTGCTTTTGTGAAAATACAGAAGCACTTCTAGGTTCTAAGTGCTCCAAATTGCCATCGGAATCACTTTTGTAAAAAGTGAGACCAACTTCTGAAAAATTGATTTTGATTTTACTTCTGCTATTAATAATGAAACAAAAGCAGAGCCAATTTTAAACACCCCATTATATATCATTCCTTGAATATATAAATGAGTCACAATTCTTAAATGTTAATGGTTTGGGCATTTTGCATTTTGGGAGACAAAAACATAAATGAAAAAGCAATTTTACCAACACGTCAATTAATTTATTTATCTTGTCAAAAGGCTAATAATAGTTGAATCAGCCAAAAAATGGTTGATAGACTCTTAACCAAACACACTCATCGTCAACTTGGACTAAAACTTAGTACTATCATTTTTCGTTGGGGAAATTTACAATTTTCGTCTCATAACTTTCAACCGTTTTTCATTATTAGTCATGTAACGTAACTTTAGTCAATTGCAAGTTTGATCCTATAAGTAATTAATATTTGTGATTTAAGAAAATTTAGTCACTTGCAATTTATGGCAATAGTATAACCGAAAAGATGTCATCGGCGTTGGATTTTTTGCCGAAAAGTGTACTTTTCAGAGACAAAACCCTTAAATTGCAAAGATTTATTAGTTACGGGACCAAATTTACAAGTGATTAAAGTTACAGGGCTAATAACGATAATCGTCGGAAGTTACAGAACTAAAATCACAAATCTGTCTTTTTCATTACATAGAAATACGAATATGCTTTTGGAATATGTAAATCTTATTTGTTAAAAATAATATTGGTAATCATAAGGATCAGTGAACTTTATCGTCAATCAAATTTTGTCATAAATCATAATGGATCCTGTTTTAAGGGATAACATTATATATTTAATTACCAATAGTATCCTTTAGGAGCACAACTTGCACCTCCTGGAAGCAACCACCATCGGACCGCCCCGCTGCCTCAACTACTGGGCCGTGGCCCGTGGTTAAACACCCACTGAACTCCTGGTAACTGATTTCCAGACCTCCGAAAAGTCGTTGGGCAGCCACCACCAGTGGCGTATCCAAAGGGGGCGGGGGCAAGGGGGCAGCTGCCCCCATGACCCTCAACTCCATCCAACCCTAATATATATATATATATATATATATATATATATATATATATATATATATATATATATATATATATATATATATACAAGAAATTTATATTTAAGTATGTTTACAGCTTGTATTAATATACGTTAATTAAGTTGGCGTTTCTACAAATTGTAATAGTGTAATTGAACTCGTTCCATGCTTTTTCCAAATGGATGAGAGTCTAAATCCTTCCCAATTTCTGTAGAATTTTATATTTTAATTTGTTAGTCTTTAAAGCTTTAAACATTCTTACAAACGCGTAATATAAATTGATATTCTTTTTATACGATAGTATATATTTGTACATTTACAACTTAAGTTAGTTGTAATTACATAATTACATTTATCTTTTATATCAACTCAGTTTTTTTACTTAAAATCGTCTCATCTCATCTAAAATCATATATACACCACTGGGCACAACTAAATAAACTGCAAGTGAAACCCTACAACTAAATAAACTACTCCGTACAAGGATCACTTAAGAGGATCAGATAGATAGACCAGACCTTACAATAAACTACAAGTATAAATACTTCTTCCAAACTTACAATATAATTATATAAATGGATAAAAATATATAGACATTCCTAATTTGAGAAGAAACTATGTTTTATACGTCCAAACATAAGAGAGGTTCTTAATTTTTCTTTTTAAGGTGCTCATTTCATAAGTAATACTAATGTGTACTCCTTTGATATTTGTGTGTGCTCGTTTTAAAATGACATAACGATGCACATTTCGTAAGTACTATATAATCAATCAGCATTTCTATTGTGCTCGTTTTAAAATATTGTATTAACTCATAGTTGTGAGATCAATTATACTTTCTAAAAGTATGATATAGTCCAAATATTAATCTTGTCACATATCATCAATATCCCTTTCTTGATAATCATTTATTGGGGTTATTTTAGAACTTTATGTTATATCATATAAACTCTCACTTACTTATTGACAACACAAGTCCAAGAGAACACAATTATGAACAAAACATTAACAATCGAAATGTTTAATCATCAATGCATAATACTGTATATATCAAATATATAAAATTATGATCAAGTACATATACTCTCACATTTGTTATACTAACAAATGTGAGAGTTGATTTTTGTATATGACTCGTAATTTTAAAGAGGTGGTGTAAATGATTGATTATTTTGAGTATCATGTATGTGTAGAACAATGAAAGTGGTGGTGTACGAGAGAGAAAACTAAGTGTGAAGCCAGACTCCTTGGTGAGAATCCTTCTGTGAAGTGTGCTTGAGACTGATTGATAGTGCAGACCATTCTCTTCTCTTCTCCTTTAGTGTGAGTCTCCTTTGTGTGAGTTTGAGAGGTGACTAGAGAGTGAGACTAAACTTGGTGAGTGGTGCCGTGGTGGAGTGGCTAAACAATCTTGGAGTGATGTGTGAGAGTTGTTACGTTGAAGACCTCAGCTGAAAATACACACCCAACAAAGTCACAAAAGACATTCTTTAAAAATCCCCTACACACTGATCAGCCAATGACCTTGTGGTCTCTTATAATTTTTTCTCTTCCTCAATCAATATGTGGAGCGATTTCTATGGATAGTAAGCGATTTCCTTTTTAGAGTTTGCTATACTTTCCCGTTTAAGATGTATTTAAAAGTTTGCTACACTTTTTTGGTAATTTTTTCATTTAAAAATACCCAATTATTTATGAAATAAAAGGACCAAGTGAATAACAAGTGTATTCATTGATCGATTCTAGTAATAATTAATATGAAAACAACAACTAATTGATCACTTATTGATGCTCAAATATCAATATGAAATATGAATAGGGAAGTAATGAATATTTAAGAGAGGAAGATTAAATAAATAATTCACAACTTACAAATTAAAGCTTCAATACCGCAAAATCAAGCTTAAAAGACTATCTAAGGTAATACAATTAAAAATAATGTCTATATGAAAGAGGGGATTGATTGATATGTAAAATGGGAAGGAAATGAGTGTTTTTATAGGATAAATAAGTTGATTGGGTTGGATACCCGACCGGGTATTCAGGATATCCGATCGAGTATCCTTGACAAGAGCTACGAAAGTGCTGAAATCTAATCATACTCGACCGTGTATGTCAATATACCCGATCGGGTATAAGACCAGATCTAATTTCCCATGTTCTCTTGCTTTATTTGATCTCATATGATCTTCGGGTCAAATCATACCCAATCGGGTATTGCATATACCCGATCGGGTGTGATACCAAATCGGATTTTTCACATTTCTTTGTTTCCCATGAAGCTTCCTCTTGCCTCCAATGCTCCTTCCTTATGCTCACAAGCTTCTTCCTCTTCTTTTCATCTTGTTTCTTGCAGAGGCGGCCATGGGAGGTAGGCACCTAGGCAGTGACCTAGGGCACCACTCCCAAGGGGGCACCGTTTTTTAATGGAAGGGCTGTTATTATTATATGTATAAATATATTAATATAGTCATACTCGTAAGTTACGCCTTTAGGCTTTAGCGGCTGGACAGCCTGGACTACTGGAGTTAGGAATTGGAATAGTCAAATGTCAAAGTCTACAAAAAATATCAAATCAAATAATAATATATTAGTATATTGACAAGTACATGAATAATGGGTTATGGAAAGGCTGCTGCCTGGCCGGATGGCCCAATAGGAATTAGAAAATTAGGAATAGTACTCTATTAGTCTATTACTCTAGTAACCTACTTAGCCGTAGTAGCTATTAAGTAAATTAAAATTTTAAAAGTCTGTAGCATACCATACGAAGGCGGAAGTGCGGAACTCCCGGAATCTCGATGGACGACGTCACGACGGTAGGTGACTAGCCAGTCTGCAAACCATGTAAATAACTTATTCTACATCAAATTTATTAATTATTATTTATGAGTTGTATTAAACTTGAAATTTTGTGTTATATATATATATATATTTATATTTACATATATATATATATATATATATTTCTTTTAATTGTTTTAAAGTTATTCGGTTATCAAATTTAGTCTGAAATGGTTTTGAAACGGTCTTTCCATAATATACCTAATAATTAGTGCTAAATTATTATTTTGTAGTGTCTACTATGACGGAAAAAAGGAAACAAGAGTCAAGGGCTTCAAAGAGAAAAATTAAGAAAAGAAAAGATGAAGTAGTGCAATCTTTTGCGGGTTCCATGGATAGGTCTGTAAAAATAAATCCTTCTCCATCGACCTCAAACAAAAATCTCGAGGCAAATGATAAAGATGAGAATGAAAATACTGGTGTTCAACTTGAGAACAAAAATGAAAACAAGGATGAGGGTAGATGTGTTTTAGATGATGAGGAGGCAGATGTTGATGTTGAGAATGATATCGTAGATGTGTTGCCTGTTAATCTTGATATGACCGAGTTATGTGATCCAGGTAACTGGAAAGTACCTATTTCACAAAAAGAAAAAGATTTTCTAGTTGAGAAGGGGCCAATAAGAATTAATGGTCATGATTACCCCGTTGTAAAAAATGGAGTTTTAGTGACAAACACTATACTCGGTGCTTGACAAATGGTGAAAAATATGACCGCCCATGGTTAGTATATTCAATTTCAAAAAAAAGTTTTTTGTTTTTTCTGTGTCTTGTTTAAGAAAGGTGGAGTATCAAGCCCATTGACTACTGACGTGAAAGACATGAAAAGCACCTAAGGGGGGGGGGGGGGGGTGAATTAGGTGTTTAAAAAATTGTGCTTGAGATATGAAGGCAGCGGAAACAATCAAGAATAGA